CTACCTTCAGACCGACATCAGACCGTAGATATAAATAGATGTTTTTCAAGTTCTAAATCAGTCAAATATCGGGTACCCCAGGGCTCCTTCTTGGGGCCTATACTTTTTATTATCTATATTATTGATATTCGCAAATCTACTAATGCTTTTAACTTTCACCTATTTGCTGATGATACTAACACTTGAACTCAGAATTGTTAATCTTGACACTTTAACTGCTGATTCCAAAACGTTTCACGGTGGTCTAAGGCTAACAAACTCACAATAAGCACTGGAAAAACTAATTACATGTTTCTTAAAACAGCACACACAAAAATAGCACTAGATGGCACTTTCAAAATAGACAATGCCCAGATAGAGGGCGTTGCTACAGCAACATATCTTGGTGTGACAATTGACTGCACTCTGACTTAGAAAAACTACATTAAAAAGACCATTAAAACAATAAGCCCCACGATTGGTGTTATAGCCCGTATTCGACATTATGTTCCACGCTTTGTCCTTATTCTTTTATACAACACTCTTATACTACCTCATCTATCCTACTGTATTGAGCTCTGGGACAACACATATTCTACCCATCTTGACCTTTTACTATGACTGCAAACGAAATTCATACGATTAATCACCTTTTCTGATTACTACGCACCCTCTGCACATCTTTTTCGTAAACTTGGTATTCTTGATGTTAACAAACTCGCTAAATTTCAGACATGTCTTTTTTTTGAGCTCAAAACAAATCGATTTGTCATTGTGATGATTGATTATATTATTTACTAGTTGATCTCATATAATTAATTCATTATTTTTGTTTGTTTGTTTACTGTAACTTTTATGACGACTTAATTTATTATTTAATATAAAGGGCCATGGACTAGACTAGTCCAAATGAACTAGTTCCATGGTCCTCACCAGTATTTTGTCCTGTACATAAACATGTAAAAATTTTGTTTGTATACTGGTGAAATAAATAAATAAATAAATAAATAAATAAATAAATAAATAAATAAATAAATAATAAATAAATAAATAAATAAATAAATAAATAAATATTAATTTGAATTCTTGTTAATATCTTGTGAACTAATAGTCCAAATCAGACCAAACTTGGTAGAGACTTGATTTGTCAATATAAGATATGTGCTATGCAATATTTAACTTCAACTAAATTAATGGGCTCATTTGCATATTTGCTGAATATTTGCTTAATATCTTGTGAAGTAATAGTGCAAATGAGACCAAATTTGATATTGACTTACTTGATCAGACAATATACGATATGTGCTATGCAATATTGAGTTTCAACTTAATTTTTGAGCTAATTTGAATAGTTCATAATTTTGAATTTTTGTTAAAATCTTGTGGATTAATAGTCCAATTAAAACCAAACTTTTTATAGACTTACTTTATCTGTCAATGTAAGATATGTGCTGTGCAATATTGAGTTTCAACTAAATTAATGGGCTAATTTGCATATTTAATTAATTTTTAATTTTTGTTAATATCTTGTAACCTAAAATCTGGAAAATTGGAATTTTATTTGATTCCAAGCAAATTAACCTTGGAAGCATGTTGTGGCAACATTTTATTTTTTTATGGCAGTTCTTGTATTTGCTATTTAATATTGACTCAATTAAATTTCCATATTCAATTGATTGTGAATTTTTGTTAAACTTTATGCAAATTTTACCAAATGTAATAGAGATGTCCTAAATGTTAACTTTGACTCACGTACTTTTGATTTTCAACTTAATCTTCCTACCCGATTCCATACATATACATTCAAACTTTATGATTCATCGCCAACTATAATCACATCTGAAAAGTGGGGGCGCTGTCACCTTCAGATAACTTGTTTGTATTTATATCGAGTAATACAAAAACCATCATGTGTTATTTGTTATTTGCATTACATTTCAGAAATACCTCAAATTTACCATGAAGCAATACTATTATTGTATTTTTTCTTCTCTGATACATAATAGCCCACGACAATACCATTTTATCACATAACTCCGCTCCTAACTCCTTTGTGTTCGATATTTCTAGACATTTCTTTTTTTCGATTATATCATCTCATGATTAATGCGG